CAGCAGGGTAGAGTAGGGTCAGGGTACAGATGCAGCAGGGTAGGGTAGGGCAAGGGTGTGAAAAATTTGCTCACACAAGGTACAGGGTACAAGAAAAAGCTTACCCTGCTCATCTCTATTTGAAATATTATACGTTACTAAATGTAAAACCAATTAATTATTCTAAAGCACAAGCGATATAGTTAGCTAGAACTATAGGTAGTTCCAAATTTAACATTCAATTCCGAGAGTATGAAATTAATTGGGTTAAAGAGTTTAAATATTTAGGCTATTGGATAGCACCGAAATTAGAATCGGGTAAAATGATCAACACGACTATGCTTAATATTAGGCAACGAGTAGCTATGATAAAGGCCTATAGAATTGATGGTTCCACCTCATGCAAGCTTAGGAGAGCTCTTTTCTCCTGTTACATTCTTCTACTTTTTACTTGGCTTTGTGCACTCTTTCCATTGTTTATGAGTAAACAAAGAAATGATCTACCACATTTTTATTATAAGTGTTTGAAAAGGATACTTTATGACTGGAAATGGAACGATCATTTTTTGCCTTTTTATATAATGAAATTTCCTTGGAAGATATATGAAGTAAGGGAACATTTCAAAATGTTTGCCGGTCGGACGGCCACTCTACCGTTCAGCTGCTCGGACGCTATGCCACTCTGCCGCTATGCCTCTGCCGTTCTCATACCGCTCTGCCGTTCAGCCGCTATGCCGTTCTCATGCCGCGGCATAACGGCACAACACATTTTTTGTTTTAATTACATTTTGATAGATTAATTGTATCCTTTGATGTATGTATACGTATACATCATGTATATTGTTCTATTTCTATTCAATATTCTTTAGCTCTATACTATTCATTTTCTCCAAAAATAATGAATATTTTAATTCCTGATAAGACTTTCGTTCAACTTGATCACGTTGTAAACATGATAATGATATTTGTTAAAGAATAGAAAAGGAGTATATGTAACTATACAATACTGAATTTTACTTCCTTTGACTTTCCATGATTAATATCATTCCGAAAAATAAATGATATGGTTCGGTCGGGAATCGAACCCACGATATGATTACTGGTTATCCGGGCCAGTGCTCTAACCATTGAGCTATTGAAGCACGACTAACATATCATTTTTATTTTTCTGAATGATATTAATCATTGAAAGTCAAAGGAAGTAAAATTCAGTATTGTATAGTTACATATACTCCTTTTCTATTCTTTAACAGTTATATTCACCCTTCTGATAAGAGGAGAATAAAAAATCATCATAAATTTCACTTGGTTAGAAATAGCTTCGCTATATCCAGGTGCGTCGTACACATCGTGTCGACGTTAAAAATTTCGATGATTTAATATCATTCCGAAAATAAAAATGATATGTTAGTCGTGCTTCGATAGCTCAATGGTTAGTTTTCAATCCCTTAATACATTGTATGAACAACCAAAATGTACCATAAGATGCAGCGTGAAAAGTTCTACAATTTACGTACAGCCACTTATTCCCTCGACTGAAGGGAGGGTCATACGAAATAAAATGCGGTTGTTTGTTTGCTTGTTTGCTTGAGGTCAAAAAAACATACAAGAGAGGTTAGCTTATTTTAAGACTTTTGGTGGTTTTGACTGAACTTTGCCATAGGTTATCGAGGGCCCTAAATCCGAATCCGAAGCCAATTTCGTTGGCCGAGGTTTCATTGGTCGGAAACGGACCAATCAAAAACCAACTTTCGTATTTTAAGACTTTTGGCCGTTCTGATCGAACTTTGCTGTAGGTTATCGAAGGCCCTAAATCCAAATCCATAGCCCATTTCTTTGGCCGAGGTTTCATTGGCCAGGAGCTGACCAATCAGAAACGAACTTTCTTATTTTAAGACTTTTGGCCGTTCTGATCGAACTTTGCTATAGGTTATCGAGGGCCCTAAATCCGAACCCATAGCCCATTTCTTTGGCTGGGGTTTCATTGGTCAGAAACTGACCAATCAAAAACGAACTTTCTTATTTTAAGACTTTTGGCCGTTCTGATCGAACTTTGCTATAGGTTATCGAAGGCCCTAAATCCAAATCCATAGCCCATTTCTTTGGCTGAGGTTTCATTGGTCAGAAACTGACCAATCAAAAACGAACTTTCTTATTTTAAGACTTTTGGCCGTTCTGATCGAACTTTGCTATAGGTTATCGAGGGCCCTAAATCCGAATCCATAGCCCATTTCTTTGGCCGAGGTTTCATTGGTCTGGAACTGGCCAATCAGAAACAAATTGTTTTATTTTAAAACTTTTTACAGTTTTGACGGAACTTTGGGAGGAGCGAAATATATGTTTTGGATTGGGTATGTTTTTATCAAAGATACCACAATAGAGAGACGCAAGAGCGAATGCTCATTTAAGTATGTTGAATATCTTATGCACCACGTGTGTCTAAATATTCCATAAATAAGAAGTGTATTTTCAAGAAGAATGAAAGGAATCGCGTTCTCCTACTTACGCACGTTGAGTACAATTGTAAGAGAAAGAAGGCATGGGTACTGTCCTGAATTTCCTAGAATAAATCTCCGAGAACTGAATCGAAAATAAATTTCCAATCTAGAATGAAAATATGTAGAAGAATTTTTGTATGCAGAGTTGATGATATCTTATGTAACTACAGAGATATTTACTAGTGTAAAAATTAAAACGTTGGTATGTCATGTCTCTGGAGCGAATCTTCTTCACAGATCGCCCCACATACTTTTCTTATTGAGTTAATTGGTCCATCTGTATATTTCACAATTCCGCCTTAATGATCCCAAAAAACATGTTGAATGAGTACGATAGTGGAAATGGGCGAGCTTAATTATACCAGACTGAATTTGTTTAGTCAACTGCTCAGTATCCGCGTCTCTCACGATTTTTTCGCTCTTTTGCTCCTCTCGTTCTCTATAAAATGAGGGAGAACATACTAATATATCACGGTTAATTTTAGAATACATATTTATTGTTACCTCAATGAGTTTTTAGAAAAATATTTTTAATCGTAGTCTGTTAAGTGCTGTCGGTACAAATAGTATACCATGAACTCATTCCCTCGATCTTAGGGAGGGTCATATGAAAAACATACTTTGTGTGTGTGTTTGTTTGTTTGTGTCAGGGTCAAAAAAAACATTTGAATCAAAAAACATCCGACTGTGCATAAAACTTGACCAAGAGGTAATCGAGGCTGCGGAATCAAAATCTGAAGTCAGAATTTACAAATTTTAACGTGAATTTTTTGGGTGAGGGAAGAGTTTTTTCAGAAAATATCCTGGATTTTTTTACAAATAGGCCGATCGATTTCTTTGGCTTTATAATTTAACAAATAGAAGCTTGCGTCAGGTATTATGATAAAGATGGTAGATCAAATCTTTCTTTATGACACATGCGAAATATATTTCTATCTTATACAGTCGAGGGTCAAGTGAGTCGAACCGACGAACGCTACTTGTTTTTATCAGTAAAATTAATCTTATTAGTAATATTTTATTGCATAAACTTGATCAAATAATTCATGCAATAATTACTATGATTGGTATATAATTCAGCATGCATCGAATCTCAACGTTCAATTTCGGTGCATGTTTATATAAGGCTGAAGAAGATATTTATTGACTTTTGAATAAGAAATAAATAAGAATAGCATTTATTAAATAAAAAGAAAAAATGATGATTATCTTTGAAATTTTATCATCTCACTTTCTGTAATATTCTTAGATGTCAAAATCATTGTATAGAATTAATTAGAAGAGAAAAGTAGAGTCATTTCCACTTTGTTTATTCTATATTCGCTTGCGGAAGACTTTTATTTTAACATAGAGACAGGGGCGTACCCAGGAGGGAGGGGTGCCCAGGGGGCCCGGGCACCCCCCCCCCCCCCTTAGCCGAAAAACACCTGGAGGGGGGGTACGGGTAAAAGATTTTTTTGGGAAACAAAAATTATTTTTTCTGCTAGTGTCTATCCCCATAATGAGTCGGGCACCCCCCTTAGAAAATTCCTGAGTACGCCCCTGCATAGAGATACTTCTTCTTTAGTTCTTCCTTTAGCTATATCCATACTTTTTTTGGGAACCGGAACGATGAGCACAGGAACGATAAGCACGAGAACGTTCAGCACCGGAAAGTTGAGCACGAAACTAGGGTGTGAGTATCAGTTGAGATAAGGATCTGGCTGTGTGTGGGTGTGAGGCGTGGTTGAGAGTGTATGAAGTGTGGGTGAGGTGAGGGTGTGGGTAAAGATATGCACGGCATCGAAAAAACTTCCCGTCCTGGTAAAAGATTTACGCGCTGTTTCATCAACTTCATTGTTAAAATATTGTTTAACTGTGCATTTTGTAGAGAAATATTTGTTCCGTCAATCTATATATTTCAAAATGTATTACAAGACTTCGTTATCAATGAATTTAACGAAACAATGACCGGGACCAATCTGGCCCCAGTCATCACATTTGCTGATTTAATTCATAAATCATACCTGTGATATATTTTGAAATACATCTACTGACAGAGAAAACATTTTGTGTACAAAATGCCTAGTCAAACAAAACTGTATCAATGAAATTGATGAAACAGGGTATACATCTTTTATCGGTACCAGAAAATATTTTTTGGTCCCGTACACATCTCTAGATGTGATGGTGGAGGTGTAAATTTGAATGAGGTGTGAGTGTAGGTATGAAGTGTGAGTTAGGGTGAGAGTGGGGTTAGCTGATGATTAGTAAAAACACCCATACCACCTCACAGCCACATCCACACCCTAGTTTCGTGCTCAAATTTCCGGTGCTGAACGTTCTCGTGCTTAACATTCCTCGTGCTGAACTTTCCTGGTGCTTATCTTTTCCGTGCTCATCGTTCACCGATCGACTTTTTTTTTCTGAGTCATTCGTCAGTCAAAAGATCTTGTGTACTAATATTTTTATATTTTTTTTCTTGAGCATCTAGTATTTGGTAGTTATTAAATAAAATCTATGATTATTGTTAACTAATTTTATTTATTCAGCAAAATTATCTTTTTGAATATTAACAATAAAATCTAAAATTAATTTTCCGTATTCTACCGAATGTGAACGAAAATGATTGACATGTCCCGAATCAACAAATCGATGAGACATAACATCAATACCACGTTCAACTTGCGTAGCCATAAACTTCTCTATAAAGTATTAAAAACAAATAATCACTTTTTAATGTTCAAAATAGTAAATTACCAATAAAATTAGACGAAATAAGACGATCAGCAGTACTATACAAATAAAATTGTTTAATATTTGTTGGTATACTATTAAGAAGTTCTCGTATTTTATCTTTTGGCAATGATGAATGTGATGAAAAATAAGATTGATAAAAAAATCGTACAAATAAATAATAACTTATTAATGGTGTCCAAAATAAATGAAAATATCGTGCTTGATTCAATATAATACTAACACATGGTTGAGATATACTAATTGCTGATACAATAATCCAATTAGATGAATTATTAAAACGTATAAATGGTGATGAATCTAGAATAATTCCTTTTATATTGGATAATAATGGATTATAATGTTCATTTGTCTTCATTATATCAAGCATATGAGAGAAGACGAGTGCACCATTATTTGAATGAAGATGAATAATAATAATTTTATTCGACGTACGATTTTCATGAAGAAGAATATCTAGTACACGTTCAATTTGTTTTATATCAACATCAAATAAACAATTGAACATTGGATTAATCCATGATACTGTTGGAATCTGATGTGATGAATAAAAATCAAGTAAACGCCGTAATTGTCGACGTTTACATCCTCCCCAACCGAGTACACAGACTAATGCAGGAGCAAACGATGAGCCAGGTATACATACAGGAATATGATCAATTGAATTAAAACCCAAATATTGACGAGAATAATGATCTCCTATTTTATATAATATAAATCCAAAAAGACCTATTCCAAGAATAATAAGTAATTGAAATAACATTTTCCTTTTATCTAAAAATAAACATTTGGTTTTTCATTCTTTGTCAATGATTTAAGAGTAAAAAAGTTTTTTTTTTTTTTTTTTCTTCTTTCTTTGCATGAAGTAAACAATCATAGATTTTTTATTCGTTCTGCATATACATGTGCTTATCGTGTGCACTTTATTGTCGCTTCACCTTTCATAAACACATAAACTGCGAATTTTTTCTTCTTTTTAGTAGACAAAGTAAATTAGACGACGAATACAAGAGAAAAAGCGTAAGTTGCTGATCTTACAAGATATCTTCAGTGATAAACTAATGTTAGTCCGTATGGGTGCTTTTTATCATCAATTAAATTGAAAGCAACTAGTTTAACGATAACTAGAGTCTTCTTTTGGATTGTTTCTTTTTGTTTTTCTTTAATAAAGTCTAACAAATTGGTTCTTTGTAAAAAGAAAAATCAGCTTTAATTTATAATTTTCTTTCTTTAAATTTACACTTTGTAATAAATTTAATAAGTCTGTATTAAAAACCAAGAACATCAGTTTATTTCGAAAGAATTTATTTTGTACAAAAGTACGAAAGAGTCGTGCGTTTGTTCGAACTTTTTTTGTTGACCTTTTTCTCATTCTTCAGAAAATATAGGTTATCAATCATTACTTTAAGTACAATTTACTTTATTAAATCTTTTGACATACAACTAATCATATTTTATAAAAAAAAAACAAACAAAGAAGTTTAGTAGAGACTATATTAATAAGAAAAAAGAAGTTGCATTGTAAAGTACAAACAAATACAATACAAACCAGTTTTATTTCGGAATTTTATGACATGAAATTTATATCGAGAAAAAAGACAACAGATAGAATGTAAGCAGAAACTTGCCGTCTTCATTTATTTCAATACAATGATAAAAACAACTTTTTAGTCAATCGAACAAAATCTAAGGAGGAAATATTGTCAAATGATAAATTAGTTTTGATATGAATCTGATCTCATTAGATAAATATAGATGTTTTAGTGAATTTTTCAAGAAAATTTCATCACAAAGTTTTTTATATCTCCTCTTTTCAGATATAAATATTGACAATTTTCTTCTATATATGGGCAAAATCATTTGTTAGCGACGTGACTTCGCAAAATTGAAATGCATATAGCTCTGGACAATCAGCTTATCTAGAGCTGATTTTTTATATCCTATACGTATGCTAAGTTGTTCCAGACACCTTGAAAGAAATAACTCTAGGGATTCTTGTTCGTCAGAGTTATGACTAAAAAACTAGCGTTAGCGACGTGACTCAAAAAAGGACATCAACTTCCACTACAAGCATTTCAGTTTGAAAAATCTGCGAATCGAAACAGTATTTTCGAAAACTAAATAGTAAATGTTGCA